ATTTTTATTAAAAGAGTAATATTTTATATTTTAAGATTGTTGATGTTATATGTATCTAAATATATTGGAGCTTTATGGGTATTTCTACGATCAAGTATAAATATCAAATTTTCCCTTAACACTTTGATTTATTATTGTCTAAAGAAATATTTGAATTTGAGATAATCTAATACAGAATAATGTCAATAAAATTAAAAACACAAAAAATCTTTGTAAATTGCATTGTTTAATAATGTTTTTAGATTATCTTATTTTTTAACATTAAGTGACGTAACTTCATAACGTCTTTTAAAATCGTCGTATAAAAAAACAGATAGCAATAAGTGACAAATATTGATTTCGTCATGCTAAAACTATTTTTTGTGAGAATAATAAAACGTCATTTTAATGTCTTATAAAATATGACGAATTAAATTGTCACGAATAAAACTTATTTGTGACAAATGTGCAACGCTACTAATTGAAATCGAATCGTCGTTATAATAAATTGTCACTAATACCTTTTTTTCATTTGAGACGATTTTACAATGTCATTATTGTATCTAAATGTCATTAAAAGGTTTCCCACTAAAAATATTGGTGGGAAGATTTTGACGCCAAACATCTAGTGATGAAAATCAATGACCATTTTCGAAATTGTCATAAAAAATATATCAGTAATCAATAAATACAACAAAAAGAAAAAAAATCACATTATAGTATATTTTGTGACGTTATACGCAATGTCATATAGAAATTTCGTCATAAATTGACAAATTTGTTGTAGTGCATTCTGATATAGATACTTGCACTCAGTATCGATACAATACAAGTACAATATCAATACTGATAATTATTCATGGACTAAAATGATATTTTCTGTAATCTGCAATAAAATTAATACTATTTAAAATTTAACTATTTGAGATTGTTGTTAAAAAGTGATTTTGAAAAGATAAAATGTCTATTTTGGATATTATATTGTAAATTAAAAATATAATATTTGAATTATATTTATACTTATCAATACTATGATGTTTAAAGTATATCAATTTAAACTATAATAAAATTATAAAAATATATTATTTTAATTCATTAATACTATGAAATATAAAAATACATTATTTTGTATTGACTGAAAATATTCAAAATTATATAATTTGAAAATTAATAATAAATAATTATACATATATGTGTATTAATTTTAAAACCAATTAAAATTAACTAATTGAGGATAAAACTATAATTTCACCCCGAAAAGTGATTTTCCACAACAAAAGTTACAAATTTTAGATTTTGAGGTTGGATTGAAAATCACTTTTTCAACTATGATTTTAAATCAAATTTTAGGTCTTTAGCATTGCTTATGGGGTGAAACATCACTTTTCCCCTGCCAAAAGCATTCCTAAACTAGTACAAATACACACTTTATGGACGCGATTGCTCGAACTTATAATTTCTATTAAAAAATATAATATTCTTTTATCACTAAGATCCCCATAGTTATAATAATCTTAACTTCCAGGGTGATTCTTATGCTCTGACATTAGATTTGGACTCTGAGTGCTAATTTGTTTATTTGTATAATTTATTAGGAAATATTGATAGATGATAAGTCAAAATATTTCTATTGTATTTGCTTTTTCTATCTTAATTAAACTGTGACAGTTGATTTGTTGGTTAATTTTTTTAATTCTAACTTCTATTAATTTTATATTTTAATTAATTAAATTGTCTATATAAAACAATTCTATTTATATTTGATAGATTTAATCTAACTCGATTACCCGAATCAATTTATTCGATTCAAGATTTGGTATGGATATGAATATGATGGATTATACTTGATCCAAAATCCGAAACAAACTTAATTGAATTACAATTGACTCGTATTTTACTTGAACCTATACAGACTCGTACTCAATTTAACTTAAACCAGAAAACCTAAACAAAAAAAACCCAAATTTGATTTACCTAAATCAGATCTAAATCAGTCATCGATCAGATTTCGTATAAAACATTGAAAGATATTTTATTGATCAAAATACGTATACAACACCACCATACAAGAAAGTTTCTTCAGAAACCTCTTACATGATATAGAAAAGAAAATGAACATATCAAAATAACGATAATGTTTAGATCTAAATGATCTAAATAACACGAATTTTATTATCTTCATCTCTTTCGTATTTTTATAATCGACTTTCTCACATTTTCTCGAACCTCTTTATCGTTACCATTTGAGAGTATCGAGATAGGAATCCCAAAACCATCCGCAATTATACAGATCTAGATGATCATCATATATAGTGACTATAAGATATTCATCCAACATAAGGTTAGTACAAGCACTAGAGTATATTAATCTAGCATCGTCATTATGTATTATATTAACGTAATGAATACCTACAAAGGTTAGATGAAAGTCGTCCCACATATCAAGCTGCATTTGAGAATTCTTAATCCTCACACAATTGTTTCTATCCGGTCCGAGAAGCATACAAACCTTAGTCTTCTCGCCCGCCTTCGCCGTGGAACGATTGTCGTAATCTTCAACACCGTTCTTCACGAAATATGCATCGAAATCATGTGATGTTTTGTTATCGATGTAGTAACAAATTCTGAACATATCAGTGTCACCATAACCACCCATTTTCAGAAATATTGGGAATAATACAAAGCTCTCAGTAACCTTTGTTTCTGCTGCACTGAGAATGAAGGAGCCTGCAATAGGTATTAATAGGCCAAGGCATAAACTTCCGGCTGGTTTTGTAATTCAATAGAGGAATGAAGGTCAACGCTCTTGCATTGAAACTGACAGATCAACCACCAAATGAGGGTCAACTCTTAGAGAGAATATCATATTATTATTCTGTAAGCAATATGGAATTTGATATTTTCCAGTTCCATTTTGATATTCATAACACAACAGAGGTTGATGTCAAGTGCTGACCATAGTTATTAGACCCTAATTAATAAAATTTTAAAAATGACAATAACATCGTGATGTACATACAACACAAATTGATCCTTAATAAATAATCAACTTTTCAAACTTTATAAATAGATGGATGAAATTCATAGTTAGATTAATTTTTTTTATAAATCTTGGTGAATACAATGTAATATCCGTTCAAAGACTTTCAATGATTTGACAATAAACGCTCATACTCCTGTATATACAGTACTCGAACTTGAAACCTTAGAAAAAAACAATAAGTCCATTAACCATTGAGGTCGTTTAATTCATGCATAGTTAGATTAATTATAAATTATAACCAATGTTAAAAGTCACATTGATTATTTGATAAACCTTCTCCCCGTATGAAGACAAATAAATAGTTAGTTAGAATATTTTTATAATAATTATTTTTCTTATGAGTAGATATTGACATCACATCGAAAATTATATATTTTTGAATATATATATATATATATATATATATATATATATATATATATGCTTGAAATACCTAAGTCAAATGTTCAGCATCCACATCCAAACACATGAATATTAATGACAGGCTATTTAAAAACTTGAATGAAAACAAAAGCTTGATAATTTTGAAGATATTAATGTAAAGATTTAATGGAATATAACCTGAAAAATATAATGATAAAAACTTGATACCAAACATTTTATTTATAAATTAACTAAAGACAAAAACTTAAAGAATTTATTTAATTTAGAATAAGATATATATAATTTCCACACCATTATAATATCAGCAAATTTTTTTTATCAATTTGTCAAAAAAATTGTTTTCTTTCAAAGTGTTGTCTTAGGTGGCGGTTTAAGTGTTGTACCTCTTATTCTTATTTTTTTTATTATCTAATTTTCTTTTGATTTAAATTTAAATAAATACCTTCTATTTTGATTTATTTCTTTTCACATATTCTTGAAGAGTTGGTTTTTGTTTGTTTTTAGAGCACAATCGCACATTTGTTCGTACGCTTTTATGGCACAATTTATCTATCATTATGATAGTTTGGCGTTTCATATTATATTTATCATATCGCATACAGTCGTATAGATAGATGTCATTTTGCGACATTTTGTCGGTATATTCAGAACCATTTGTAGAGTAATATGTCAGTTTGATTCTCTCAATCTCCATGACTACATCAATATTGTGTTAAGGCTCGAATAAAAACATAAATATTATTGATAGTTGTTAGATTTTATAAAAGATGAAGCACGTATTCAAGGTAACGTTTTGGTTTTATTTTTTCTCACCATTTGGATTTTTATATTGGAATTGTATTATCTTTATTGTGCATTACCTTTTTGATTAATTAAAACTTAGTTTTATCTATCTATATAAAAAAATTATTTTTATCATTGTTACACCAAACATTTATATTATCAATATATATATATATATATAATTGTATATATTATCAAATAATTGTGACATCTTTAGAATTTTTATAGACTTTTCACTGTTCTTAGAATTAAAAAAATAACTATTTTTAACATATATCATCTTATTGGATCGTATCAATTTTTTTTAAAAATAATGGTTAAGGAATTAAAGTGATAAATAGAATGAAAATAGATGGGCTAAATTGAATGGAAATTAATAAAAGAGCCATATTGAGAATTTACCTATAATATAGGTGTCAAAATAGATATTAAGCCAACAAAATTCCTACTTCCTGTGAAAAAAAAATCTTGTGAAGATAGTTACCCACCAGTGAGGTTCATGAAATGCATTACCATTCACCCTCCACACGAAATCTGTTCTCTTTTTTTATTATTATTAGTTTGAGATGACAAGATATTATTTGTTCAGATTTTTCTGATCACAAAGGCATCCTACAAACGTAACTGTTCGAACTCGAAACCTCTTGGTAGAACAACACTCCCTTTTACCACTAAGGTCGTTCAATGAATTCGAAATATGTTCTTCCAAATACAAGTGAACTGAAATTACAATCAGCAATGGAAGGGTTTCAGTAAAAGAGTCGGAAGATGAAGGAAGAAAAGTAGGTTTGAGTGATTGACTATAAACAAAAAGGAAACGAATTAGGCAATTGCAGTAGTCTATTCACCATAAGCTTTAGTTACACCACATGTAACGTTAGAAGACAATGTGCACGGAAAAATATTCAATAAGCAACAATCAGCCAAAGAATATGCTAAGGTACTTTTGAAATAAGTTTTTATATAGTTTTTCCAACAGTGTTATCAAAACTCTTTCCATCATCCAAACAAGTTAAATTTCAACAAAAGGCAGATTTGCTCACATGGCGAAGACTGGATCCCTCTCCGGAACAACTTGACGGCGTGCTCCTTCTTCAGAAAAATATTATTGAGACACCCATTGTGAAGCAACCCACAGCCACCCAGGGACTTAACCGTTCACCTGATTCAAGATATATACTGGTTTAGTCCCTCAGATTGTAATGCATTGCTAATAAAAGGGTAGTTCCAAAATGGTTCCACTAAAATTCCTTATCATTTTGATTCACTAATTGAATCCAAAATATACGTCTAATTATTATGGTTGGGACACAAACTACTAAAAAAACACTTGTGATGCAACTTTACTAATATAATGGTCAGGAAATGTAAAATACATCTTTGTTTTATGCAAAAAATTGTGAGGTATAAATGAGATATTTGGTGGCCAAACGTTTACATTAACATGCGCATTTGCACATACATGTTCTTGAAATAAAATGGCAGGTTGCAACTGCAACCCTATTAGATAAATAGCACAGGAGACAACTTCTCTCATTACATATTTCCAGCAAATAAAATCTCATATAAACTGTTATAACAATCATTGTTCATTCAACACCAATTGATGCAGTAAACTCAGAAGTCAATGACATTTTAGTTGGTATAAACAGCTAATATGTGGACGGAGCATCAAACTCAGATTCTTATTCTTAAGCTAAAATAACTGATCTAAACACCCATTTCAGAATATCATCGCAGTCCAATACCAGCTCATGAGTTTATGAGATTTTAGATACAAAATAAAACACAAGTTCTCTATGCTATGTAGTTCCTTTATTAAAAAATGATAGATCTCGATTTTTTTGTCTTTCACTTTTAGTCTTATTTCCAACATCGTTTTAGATTCACGTTATATGTCCAAAGAAGATTCACAAGGGGGATAATGCAAGCACGATTATTCCATATTTTCAATACCTATTCTGGCTGCCTTCCAAAAGAAGCCACGGAACCTGTCATACAAGCATATACCATATTAGCTCCAATTCTCACCATTTCCTACAAATGAATTGTGATGCCAAAGTAGAGCAGGACGAGCAAAACTCGACTTGACTCAAAAAACCAATCTTTTCGACTCGATTCGAATTGATTCAGCTCGTAATTTTATAAACTCGACTTGACTCGAAAAATTTCAATTCGAGTCGAGATATAAAATAGAACTCGAATAATAACTCAAATAACTCCAAATTTTTAGTAATTAGTAGATTGGTTTTCAAGCTTGGGCCAAGTTCCTCAACTATGTATGATATATGTATATCACATATGAAAAATATATATGTATTTTATATGGTTATAGAAAACCGTTTAAATTGGAATCAAATAGTATTATAATATCATAATATTATAAACATTTACAATTAAATTTAAACAGAAACTCGAACAATTCAACTCAAAAAAATTTCAAATAAAGTTTGAGTTACAAAATAGGGTTTGTCAACTTGAATAACTCAAAAAAAATTTACTCGACTCGATCAAACGCTCAACACTACCTATAAATCCTAGGCATATAAACAGTACCATAAACCAATATAGACACAAAAGAGAAAAGACAAGGAGGACCAAGATTAACCCGAGTCATGAAACTTACAACTATATCACTGTGCTATATTTGTTGCCTTGCCAGTAACACCCAAAACAGTCGATTTAATTTGCAAAATTACATCAATATTAAGACATAAGATAAAGTAATTTTGAATGTTCAAAGATGAGAGATGGCAAAAATCTAAAATAGACTAATGAGATCATCTGTTTTCCTTTCTCTTTCTCTTTTTTATGCGACGGTTGGTTAAAATATCAACTGCCCCAACATCCCCCATATCAAATAGTTTTAGTTCAAATGTAATTATTCCAAATTACAAAGCTAAAACATCCATACGAACTCCAAGAAAAAACTGCATGAGATAAACACATACACCTAGGCTATAATAGCAACCGCCCCAACATCCAGTCTCGAATTCTTCCAGTTCAAAGGAAGTTATTTCAAATTTAAGAGCTAAAACAGCTATAGAAACGCTATGAAACTGACTAAATGATTATGAAGCCACAAATCTAACATTCAATTACCAAAATCAGTAATCATTAGACAAAATGTAAGCTCTAAGTCAACTACAGATATAGCAACGAGAATTATTCCACAACAATTGAAGAAATAAAAAGGAAGAAAACTTATAAAGAGAGCGAGAGGATGTACCCAGTTCTCTGTTCAAGAATTGCCGGAAACTGCATCTTCAAGTACGTGCAGGTGCAGATGCCCAAAAGCACTACTGTTAAGAATGAATGGAAATTGAAGAGTGCCGACTGAAATCACACATCATAAATACGTTAACTTTCTACTGATCTCGAAAAATTAAAAGAAGAGAAAGCGATCTCTCAAAATGGGGTAATTAGAATGTTAGGGTTTTTCTTACCATGGTTCAGAGATCCTCCTTGGATTGATTGATTTTCCCACTTCAAATGCCCAATAGGAAAAACAAGATGGGCTCTGGATCGAAATCAAAATAGAATTTGTATAGAAAGACAGAGGAGGTACGGAATTTGATGTTACTGAGTATTCGGAAATTTTGGGAGTTATAAATTGGGTAGTTCTAACTATAACCTTAATACAGTGTTAAGTGGACCAGAAATATTAATATTTTTTTAATATATTTGTTAAAAAAATTATTTAAAATATTTTTTTATATAAAACATTAATTTTTATAATATTTTTGGTTAAGTGTCAAATATTAACATTTTCGATAGAAAAAATAATATTTTGATTAGTGTTTTACTGGATATATTAAACATTTCTAGTAAAACATCCAATAATAATATTTCTGTAGAAATAATAATGTTTTATGTAATTTTTATTAAAATATTAAAAAAATAATAAAAATTTTAATAACGTCTTTCCTTAATAAGGATACACATATTAGACTTTCCATAAATTGAGCATGAGTCAAAACCAAAACAAGGTAAAAGCTTGAACTGCTTCATCCAACAAACCATGTTGTGCCACGTCAATCCATTTTTTCCTTTAAAATGTAAATATTTGAGAAAAGGTTAAGTTATAAACTTTATTCTCACTCTTATTTAATTCACTAAAATATAAATTTTTCAATGTACTCATTAAATTTTTGATTTACTATTATTCTAATCACTCGAATGTTAAATCATAAATGAAATGGTGACATGATAATCGTGTGTACTTATGTGATGTAGACGGTCAATCATGTCATTTTCCTTTTTTTTTTCTTTTTGATTTCATTTTCTCCCTCCAAAGATGAAAATTTTACAATTTCATCCTTGTCTCACATCAGCGTTGCGATTACCATTTTTCGGCATCTTCTTCAACCATTAAGATATCGACGAACTCATCTAATTGTTGCCTACGACTCTAACAATTTAAATTTTACATAAACCATTTTAAAACTCATAAAGCTCATTCTTAAACTCAAAATTCATGAAACCCTAAACCAATCTGATCTATAATACTCACCATCCAATTAACGTGGAATCAAAATATACAATTTACTTCCTCCTCCACCCTTGCACTATTAAGATTTGGAAGAAGATGCTTCATCATCGAGAAATCAAAGAGAATTCGAAACTAGATGTTTTTTCAAAAAAAAATGAAGAAAATTTAAGATCATTTTAAAAATTATGAAAGAAAAATGTTCAGTCATAAAGTTGTTAAGTATGTAACACCGGAGTGACCAAAATAAGAGTAAATCGAAAGTTAAATGAATAAATTATTTTTAAAAAAAATTTAGTGATCAAAATAAGAGAGAAAAAAGTGAACGATGAAATTTACCATTTAAAAATTTACTTTTTTAAATCCCACAAAAATAATTTACTTGCATAACGCTTGAATGAATTAAAACATTATATACTATATATGTTATTATATAAATAACCAACGTTTCATCGAGTACATAAACGAATTCTTCTATCGTACATAAGAGTGACAAATTATTTTGTCGTTAATGAAAAAAAAAAATGATTTCTTTTCGAGTATGTGAACAAATGCTTCTGTTAAATTAATGAAAAAAACGAGCATTTTATAAAATATAAAAATAAATTATGTTGTCATTGATAAAATAAGAATATTTTGTCAAGTGTATAAACAAATTCATTTTTACGTTTATAAAATAACGAATATTTTGTTGAGTATATAAAACAAATTCTTTTTATCGTTGATAAAATAACGAATATTATTGTCTTGACGACGAACAAATCCAAATTGAACCTGACCAATATAGAATGTGTAATTTTTAACATATACTTAAATATAGGTTCATATATTCCGATTACCATTCATTTTTGGCATATAAAGGCAAAATTAAATCTCATTTTAATTTCACTCTAATTATATAGGTAAAATCAAATAATTTAATAATAATTTAAATTTGGCATTGCTCTAGGCGTGTATGTTATGCGTGAGCTAAAGTTGTCTTCATTCAAAGAGTTTTAACCTTATTTGTAAAAGAAATAACGTTCCATTTCAGATAAAGTTGTAATACCGTTCAAAGAAGAGAAGATGTGTCAGTAATGGAGATTCGAAACCTTCTGTTTCAAAATCTGGAATGATTGATTAGAAATGGAGGGTTTAATTCAGATCTCACTCTCTCTCTGTTTTCTCCAACTCCGTGTAGAAACAAGTGACGAATGTAACAACCGAGTCGTTCATGGTGCCTGTGGCTGCATTCCTCCTTTGTCTGTTTCTTCTTCTCTTCGTTTTAAAAGCACAAGCACAATTCCATGTCAAAAGCAAAGCTTCTTCTTTTCCCTGCTGTTTTTTTTTCATATTTGGAAAGAGAAGAAGATCAATGGAAAGGGAACCCTCTCCACCGCTTGATGATGATGATGAAGAAGCATATCCATATTTGGATATGCCTGAGCCGCTCACTTTAACCAAGCAGCAATATCAAGCTACATTCGTACATCTCTCTCTCTCTCTTATATCTTTATATATATATAGCTTGCATTTACTCTTATCTTTAAAGAATACACATTTTTCGTTTTCAGGAAGCTGTGAAGAAAGCCTACAGCAAACGGAAAGCTGCGCGGAAACCACCAGGAAGTAATTTTTGAGACTCTATATTTGTTGTTTGCGTATAATTTTATGTACTGACGGTGTACATTTTAGGTGGTTCCGAAGAAGAAGCCACCGCTGAACAAAACTGCAGCTAAGGGAATCAAGAAAAACAGAATGTCATCTGTATTTGGAGTTACAGATCTATCTCTATGTAATGTTGCTTTTTTTCATTTCTACCATATACAGCGATAGCAGTGAAGAAACATGTATTTTCCTTCAAGCAAAAACCTACATGTTATGCTTTGCTCAGTGGTTTCAACTACTTTAAACAAATTGATAACACTCCATAAAAGCCACATTTTCATAATTATTCTACTACTTGGACTAAGCATTTCCACCATTTATTTTCCAAAACCTATCCACACTAAATTCGAGTGTGGAATGTCTAGTTTCCATTTGCAAACAATCAACGACTTATTTTGAATATGACAGGGACCATGCTCAAGCACCCATCCCCTTACTTCCTCTAACCCATGTTTGCTTCCTCTAAGCTAAACTGGGAAATGAGAACTTTGCTACTAGTATGTTTTGGAGTCACTAATCCCAACCAAACAATTCTTACAAAGTCTCAAAATTAGGGGTTTTATGATGCACTTCTCGTAACATGGGATGGGATCAACCATGTTAGACAAAGACTTCTTCGAAACCTTTCTTCCCCCACCTCACGAGGTCCGGGACCTCGAGGGAAGTCTAAGTGATTGGCGATAGCTCCGGAGACTTTCCCGTTAACATCTCAAGCAATACGACTATGAACGAAAAGACATCCCATTTTTGGGTCGCTAGGCTGCCGGGAACTCGAGCCTCCGGTGCTTGATACATGTTGGCACGAACGGACCTAAAATTTTATTTAAGAGGCGACTTATAAAATGTAGGAGGGTAAAAATGTATTTTCATTAGAAAATACAAAGAAAAAATCTAAATTTTATAGAAATTTAAAATTTTCAAAGGGTGACCGCCGCTTTCACCCTGCCTGTGTCCATCCCTGACTGTAAGTATATTCCGATCGGATCGATTTATAAGTGAGTCTGCCTATAAATCGTCGGATGAAGAATCAGGGTTGTTTCCGATGATGGTAATGAGCCTGTTGAGGCCGATATCAGAGATGTAAGGCTGGAATCCGTTGTCGAGGAGGATGTTGATGGTTGATGTCTCCATGAACAAATTTTCTCGGACTGTATTCATGGAGATAGGCCAATCCACGGGCTGCTTCCTTTGCCATTTTTACCCTTACCGACCATAGGAAAATAGTACTCCAAAAAGATGAAAGAAATTTTCCCTAAGGGATAAGAAGAGGTAAGAGAGAAATTGTTCTGACTATTTTTTTTTTCTTAGAAATGAAAAACTTTTATTTATAGGCTCAAATTAAGAACAAGTTGTTGCATGCCTTGTAATTTTTTCTATCCAAGATGGGAATTATAGTTAAATAGTCCTACAAGAAGGTGTGATTCGGTATCGATCTCAGTAAACACTATGATAAGAAGGGAAAAATCACAAAAACTATATAGAATTTTATAGGAATAATATAAAAAAAAGGTGTTTAAGCTATATCTTTTTCTATATTTAGGTGCATAACTTTTCTTTTCGTCAATTTAAGTATCTAATATTATTAATATTATTATCTAGGTACATCGGCTATCAAAGTCGTTAAAAAAATTGTTAATTAACACATGTCACATTTATAATTTTTTTAAAAAATTATTTTCATTTTTCTTAAAAAATATTATTATATTTATTTAAAAACTCTAATTTCTTTAAAATTACCAGAAAAAAATCCAAATCCCTAACCCAAATTTCTTTCCCCTTTACCCTCCCTTGTCAGCTGACACCGCCGCCACCTTGCCGACATGTTGCAGGTCGAATCCTAGTTAAAAGTCGAATCCTCCTAATCTAGTCCGAGAATAAAATACAAATGTAAGTGGTTGTTGCCGATGTTGGAGGTTGCTGCCGCGTTAGAGGCTAAGGGCGATCAATTAGTAAAGGGCAAACAATGGGTGTCCGAACAACCATCATCCATAGCGCCGACAAAGGGCAAGCAACGACGACAAAGGAGGGTGGCGGTCGTGGGTATATGAGTTTAGAATTAGGATTTTCAAAGTTTTTAGGTTTTTTTAAGATTTAAGAAAAAATTAGGGTTTTTTAAAATAAATTTATAATTTTAAGTTTTTTTTTTATTTTAAATAAAAATTTCATAAATGTAACATGTGTCAGTTAACAATTTTTTAATGGTTGTGACGGTCGAGGCACTTAAATGATAACGTTATACACTTAAATTGATCGAAAAAATTAGACACTAAATAAAAAAATATAATTTAGACAATTTTTTTATCTTAAGCCAGTTATATACTATTAATGCATTAAATATCCACTTTAGATGGGATAATGGCCTCATGTTTTACCTATAAAAACATGTAAATAGTCCGACAATGTAAGTTTGGTGCCATACACTTTACCCCTACGGTCTAGATGTGGAATTTTCTCATTTTACAGTGTAAAAGGCATTTCTTTAAGGTAAATACAGATGCGGAGTAGTGTTACATTAGAAAAAGCTAAGTGTCAATATTATTTTTTTTATATTTGAAAAAAAATCATATATTTACTGTTATATTCGAATGTATGTCGGATATATACAAGTTTCCAAACAATTTTTGTGAAAAAAACTGAAAACTCTGAGTAACATAACTTTACATAATATAGAAAAGCAGCTGCAACCAGGCTATATACTCTAACAATTATGCAAAAATGTATACAAAATGAAACAAAAACTTGGAGTGAGCTTAAATGGCGGTTTTTTACAGGACAAATCATAAAAAAACCATCCAAATAATCATTGATCTTCAGCTGCAACCCCATCTCTTTCACTGTCATTCATCTTCACAACATCATTATCGGTTGGCTTCCCACCTTTTTCATTGTTTTCATCGTTTTCTTTTCTACAATATTTTCTCTACTTCCCCTCTCTAATACATCCTTATACGATCCCGTCGGTTTTAATATGTTCATATACGATTCTGTCGATTTCGAGGCGTCTTTATTCGATTCTGTTGATTTTGTTATGTCAGTATCCGTTCCTTTCGATTGTAATGCATCCATGTACGATGTTTTCGATTTCAATACATCCTTGTACGTTCCTTTGAATAACATTCCTTTTACAGTACTTGAATTAGCCTTCTCACCAACCTTTGTGTCTGCTCTATTTTCTGGTTTTTTAATCTTTTCATCATTTCTATAGCCAACATTAAGGGTTTCTAAGGGGGGCTTTGCTTCGTAGGGATCAATTTTTGCTTTTGGTGCATGGCCAAAATTAAGAGATACTTTAGGGAGCTTTACTTTGTTGTGATCAGTGTCTGCTTTTGATATGTGACCAAGCTTTACTTCATTGTGATGAGTTTTTGCTTCTGATATGTGGCCAAAATTAAGGGTTTTCATGGGGAGCTTTGTTACGGTATGTTCAATTTCTGCTTCTGATACACAACCAACATTGAGGGATTGAGTGGGGAGTTTTGCTTCAATGTGATCAATTTTTGCTTCTGAATCCTGGCCAAAATTAAGGGATGTTATTGGCAGCTTTACTTTTGTGTGATCAGTTTTCTCTTTTGATACACAACTAAAATTAAGAGATTGTGTGGGGAGCTTTGTTTCGCTTTGACCAGTTTCAACTTCTGATACACGACCAACAAGTGATTCTGTAGGGAGCTTTGCTTCGATATGATAAATTTCTGCTACTGATACACAATCGACATTAAGGGATTGTGTGGGGAACTTTGTTTCTCTTTGACCAGTTTCTGCTTCTGATACGCGACCAACAACTGATTTTGTAAGGAGCTTTGCTTTGAAATGATCAATTTTCGATTCTGATACACAACCTAGATTAAGGGATTGTGTCGGGAGCTTAGCTTCATTGTGATCAATTTCCACTACTGACACATGATCGACATTAAGGAATTCTATGGGGAGCTTTGCTTCAGTATGATCAATTTCTGCATTTGATACACAGCTACCTTTATTAACGATTTGTGTGGGGAGCTTTGCTTCGCTTTTAGTTTCTGCTTCTGATACACGATCAACATTTAAGGATTGTATGGGGAGTTTTACTTCGATGTGACCAGTCTCTTCTTTTGATACAGGATCAACAAGTGATTTTGTAGGGAGTTTTGGTTCAGTATGATCAATTTTCGCTTCTGATACACAACCGACATTAAGGGTTGTGTGGGGAGCTTTTCTTCGTTGTGATCAGTTTCTGCTTCTAACACTTGATCAACATTAATGGATTCTATGGGGAACTTTTCTTCAATATGATCAATGTCCACTTCTGATACACGACCAACATTAAAGGATTGTGTAGGGTGCTTTACTTTGTTGTGATCGATTTCTGCTTCTGATACACGACCAACAAGTGATTTTGTAGGGAGCTTTGGTTCAATAGGATGAATTTTCGTTTCTGATGCACAATCAACATTAAGGGATTCTGTGGAGAGCTTTATTTCGCTATGATCAGTTTCCATTTCTGACACATGACCAACATTCAGGGATTCTATGGGAAATTTTGCTTCGGTATGATCAATTTCCACTTCTGGTAATCGACCAACATTAAAGGATTGTGTAGGGAGTTTTACTTTGTTGTGACCAGTTTCTGCTTCTGATACACAATCGACATTATGAGGTTGCGTGGGGAGCTTTGTTTCATTGTGACCATTTTCCATTTCTGACACTCGACCAACATTTGGAGATTCTATGGGAAACTTTGCTTCAATATGATCAATTTCCACTTCTGGTACACGACCAACATTAAAGGATTGTATGAGGAGCTCTACTTTGCTGCGACCAGCTTTTAATTTTGGTATCCGATCAACAAGTGATTTTGTAGGGAGATTTGGTTCAATATGATCGATTTTCTCTTCTGATACACAACCGACATTAAGGGATTGTGTGGAGAGCTTTGCTTCGTTGTGGTTAGTTTCCACTTTTGACATGTGACCAACATCAAGGTATTCTATGGGAAACTTTGCTTCCGTATTTTCAGTTTCTGTTTTTGTTACACAACTAACATTAAGGGATTGTGTGAAGAGTTTTGCTTCGTTGTGATCAGTTTCTGCTTTTGATACACGGTCAGCAAGTGAATTTGTTGAAATCTTTTCTTCGATATAATCAATTTTCGCTTCTGATTCGCAGCTAACATTAAGCGGTTCACCGGCTACTTCTGATACCACGCCAACATTAATGAATTCTTTGGGGAGGTTTATTTTGTTACGATCAGTTTTCGCTTCCGATATGCAACCAACACTAGGTGATTTTGTGAGGACCTTTGCTATATTATGATCAATTTCTGCTTCTGATACTTTGGAGAGTTTTTCTTCATCGTGATCGGTTTCCACGTCTGATGCGCGGCCATTGATGGCCCCATTATAAGCTGTACCAAAGACGATCTCTTTTTCCTTGATGTTTTCATAGCCCCAACGAGTTAACATCGATATCAAGAGCTTCAACCATGAGATTGCAAGACATAATCCCCAATCCAGAAACGGAACTTGCTTGATTTCACCTGGAATTCGTTTAAAATATCATCAAATTTCCCAGGGAGAGCCTCGATGATTTCAACGGCGGCGTCGACCTTGTCGAAAACGTGCTTTGATGACGGGAAAAGGGTCTCGACCATATTTTCAAGTGCCAAGATACAATCATCGACGAAGAAGAAGACGGCCAACCAGAAACGTTGCATGCAATGGAGGATACAGTAAACCATATATGCTGTTAACGATAGAAGCCCTATCGCCATTAAAGCAATCGGTTCCTTCAAATCTTGAGTTTTCATGTAAGCTTTGTGAGAGAGAGCAATGGCAGACACTCCCCAAGTGTGCAATGGACGTCGTCTGCAATTCATTCTAGTGCTTGCAGTTCGATCCTGATCAACAAGACTCGATAATCAACAAGAAATTCCCCTAGAAAATTAATTAATTAACTAATTAATAAAAGAAAGAATTTATTTATATTATATATAAATTCAAATATCTAATTTAAAAAAGGAATCCTACCACAAAATTGATGTCTGCCGTTCCGTTTCTGTTTCTTTAGTATTACGCTAAAGTCGCGGTGACATGAACGGCAGTTATGAAATTTAGCGGAATTAATAGTCAACGGTTATAAGCACTTGTAAACTAGTGGTCCCACCATTGTTAGTACTTTCCTACGTGGCGAAACGGGTCATCGCCACGTACCAGACATTCTTCCTTCTTCTTTTTTTGGTTACATGGGGAAAATAAAAGAGTGAGACTAGTTGACGGCGAAACCTCTCGCGATGGAAACGTTCATGTGATCAGTGTTCAAAAAAGGAAGCACTTCTGTCGGCGGATTGTCGAAAATAACAAACTCCTCTTCAAGAAGACATCCCATCTTCGAGAGCGTATCACCACAAAAATTTCCTTCTCAGTAGATATGGTGAAAACTGAGGATCCAATTACGATCTTTGAAACTCCGAATATCTGCAATAATAGTTCCCAAAGGGTGCATGAAAACATCGGCAACTTCAATCAGGTTTAAAGCCACCCGAGCATCAACCTCACACTCAATGGCTCGGAAACCATGTTCCCAGGCAATAGATAACTCAATTCTAATAGCGTGAAACTCAGCCACCGCACTAGAACAAATACACAACTGTGCCGAGAACCCCAAAACCCAAGCTCTTGTATCGCATCGCAAAATACTACCCCCTCCCGATGTACCTGGATTTCCCTAGCTGGCACCGGTGTTTAATTTTAATCTCTCATTCCTTGGAGCTTTCCACACCACGTTAAACTGGTGAGTAAGCACACAAGTAGCTTTCTTATGTGTCATTAGGACCTCCTTTGTAGTAGACAAGATGTTTCGCCATAGACCAAAGACATCTTGGAAAGGATCATCTGGTTAAAAAATTCTTCTACAACGAACAGCCTACAGCCTCCAAATAGTTGCAGCAAAAAACGTGACTGATTCTTGCGAGTGCTTCAAGGTGTCAAGGTTATCGAACTGCCAACTCTTCATATCCTGCAAAAAGAAATTACCATTGGAAGGACCCATTGAGCAACGAACTTGAGAAAAATATGAAACTAAAAAGAATTATAATTATTCGTTTGAATTGGAATTGTATACACTGACATTGGCCAACGTACTTGAGAAATGTTCCGTTAAATTTGCTCTTTGTGCTTTCAATCTCCGTCTGAATTCTTGTTCATTGGTAAAGCTTGTTCTTTGGATGAGAAATTCGTCAATAGGCTGAGCTGTCGACGTTTCTTGCTAAATTCGATTAAAGAAACAAAAGAGAAAACAATGCCTAAACAGGAGGTTAGGAATGGTATTTTTCTCTCTGTTGCACAAACTGAGTGCAAATTTTAGTTACAATTGTTTGAAATCTTTGCTGTGATTAATTCATCCATAATGATTATCGGGTTTCCCCTCCTTTTTTTTTATTGCAGGAATTCCTGGTGACGGGATATGCTTGTTCCTCTAATTCACAGTGCTTGGCTGAGGTCCGGGAAGAAGTCTCCAAGGGAGAGATCTCAGAAAGTTTTTGCAGATGAGCTTAGAGCTAAAGTACATTTGGCTTTCTCTTTCTCCATCTGTTTAATGATTTTCATAGTTAATCTGGCATTTGTTTTGTTATCTTCTATGTTATCCGGATGTAGATGAGTGTTGGATACGAATATGTAATAAAAAAAATGCACACATTCAAAACTCTTTTGTATGTTCTATTTCCCTATATGTGCTGAGCATCATCTTGTGTTGCCATGTTGGTATTAGTTCGATAGCATGTTTTGAGTTTTCCAGTGCGGACACAGAACGGTGAGCAATTTTCTGTTTGATTCAGGGCTACATTGAAACAAAAAACAAAAGGACAATGAGTTCTGGAACGTTGATTTTCACCCTAATTATAGCTGGAGCCTAAGGCGCATTTTGAAACTTCGATCTAAGGCCTTTCCCATACTTACTGCTGGATCTGTTAAAGTAAAGGATATCTGGGATGCATTAGGTGAAAGACGTCCTCATGTCCCTTGGCAGAAAATCATCTGGTTTCCTCTTCATATCCCCAAATATAGCTTGATTACTTGGATGGCACTGTTGATCGTCTCCCTACGAAAGTTAGACTCTTTCGAATGGGTCTAATCTCTGACTGTAAATGCAATTTTTGTGATAACCTGGTTGAAATAAGGGAGCACCTGTTTTTCCAATGTCCTATGGCTAATCAACTATGGCATTCTGTCTTCTCTCATGCTGGCCTTAACTTTAATATTAGCTCTTGGGATGCTCTTTTAATGTGGGCCTATCCCACTTGGAAGGGAAAATCCTTACTTCCATCATGAAGCTTGCTTTCTCTGCTCTTATCTATATCCTATGGGACGAACGCAATAAACGTCAGTTACAAAACCGTTCCAGAACTAGGCCTGTAAATGAACTGAACGTTCAACGAATCATTCATGAACCGTGCGGCGGGAAGTTCATTTATGTGCGTTTATTTATTAAATGAACGAACATGAACAATATTTTGTGTTCGTTTAATTAAATGAACGAACACGAACATAGGTCTCGTTCGTGAACGTTCGGTTATGTTCGTTTATGTTCGTTCGTTTATGTTTAACCCAATCTTCTTAAATCAATTTTGGTGACCAATTTGTAAGTATCTTAAAAATATTAATTAATATGATATTCTGATGATCAACTCCATAATTAACTCAATTTTATTTGGAGATTAAATCCAATATGTTAACCCGTGAGGCACCTCGCACCTATATTCATTTTTCTCCTTTTTTCCCAAACCCTAGTGTTCACTGGAGAGTGGAGACAATCGGTGAAAGCTTCAAAAACTAGTTATATTATAGTGCAATCTGAAGTTTTACATGTATGTTTTCATCTCTTCCTCTGTTTTATTTGGCTTAATAGTTGATATGTAAAGTTATTGTGGGTATCTTCACATCTAAAACTGACGCCGGACAGGATAGCGATTATCCTGCAGGCTAGTTCCAACAGATGATTCACAGGAGAAAATTAGCCCAAAACCAGATAAAAGAGTCTCTAGGGTTTAATAGAATATTATAAAATCAAACAATGCGAAAATCAGTCCACAAGCCGGACTGTTATAGCCAAAAATCGTGTTTATCCGAATTTTTTCAAAAATAGCAAAATCTCGAAAATCACTCTAAATTAAAATTCAAAATAAATATGCAATCTCCAAAAAATCCAGCCCAAATCGGATTTAAAATGACTTCCTAATTGACAAGCCAAATATTACCATAAATAGTAATAAATAAATAAAACTAGTGATTCGGAGGGAAAACAGCAGAATTTGAGGTAAAAAAAAGGCCATATAGAGCCATGCTCAATGTGGTCAGCTTGTGTGTTGAAATAGGCTTTCCGAATTGGGGTCTTATGTGCGATTCCGACACCCGTAGTCAAAGTTAAGACCAAAAGACTGAAACACACTCAAAACAGCCCCAATGAGGAACATATCACAATTAACTCCCGCCTTAGCGCTGATCTGCCAACTCATGGTATCTCAGCACCATCAAGGTACAATCTGACAGCTCAACATCATCTATCTCGAATCCCCCTGCATCAAAAACTCAAGAAAACATCATACTTCTTTCTAGAAATAGATGAGAAGATAAAGGTAACAACCGGAAGTATATGAGCATCAATAAAGAGAAAAATATATAGAATTTGCCAGAAAACAAAACAAATGTTTCTATGCAATTTCTGAAAAAAATGTAATAGCGGAAGTAATGGGTTTTCCAGGAAGAACCTATTAATAAGTAGAAAATACACTTTGACAATGAACTTTTGTTTTCATAGTTCTTGTGTGACCTTTAGTTGTGGAGTAGACTTTAGGTACGTTAAAATTTTGAATGGTGGTTTAGTAATAATATCAGTTAGATATGTAGCATCGGAGGGATTTCGGATCTATGTTGTTGCCTTGTAGTCCAATTTGTACCGTTCGAAATCTTCATGTTGTTAAATTTTCTACTTTGCCAATGGAAAGGACCATTATTAACAAATCTCACTAAAGTCTGACATTGATGTCACAAAACTTTAAGCCGACCAATTTATTAAAATAACGTAGTGGAAAATGATTGTTCATATGTAATCATTGACCACTAAGATAAATGTTATAGTATTAAATTAAAGTCGTGTGAATCATTTAATATCTTTAAAAGATCGATCGAAATATCTGATATCTTCAAATATTTCATCACTGCTAATCAGCTCTTACGCTATTTATCACTGTAGATTTAGTTGATTTGCATTGTCGACTATTTTTCATGAAAGAACAATGGAAGGTAGGGTCTCCAACGTTTATGTTCGTGTTCATTTATGTTCGTGTTCGTTTATGTTCGTTTATTTATTAAATGAACGAACATGAACAAACTATATTCCTTAATGAACGAACATGAACAAAAAAAATTTTGTTCGTTTATGTTCGTGTTCGTTTATGTTCGTGTTTTATGGTGTTATATTTTAAAATACATTCCACTAACTTTTGCTCATGTTTTGCCATTTTTAATTTAATCCCACGTTTTTTTAATTAATTAATTATAATGTTTTATTTTTTATTTTTTTCTTGAAATATGTATTTTATTATCTTAATTTTAATATTTTCATATTATTAGAGGATTATTTATAACTATAGTACTTTGCATATTAAGTAGTTATAATAGTAACCTTAATTTTTATATTTTCTTGATTAAATCATTAAAATTATTATATGTAACTGGATTATATTATTTTATACAATAAGTCATAAAATATTTTCTTAACTGATTAGGAAAGTATTTTAAATGATTTGTAGGTATAAAATAATATCCTTACTATTTTTATGAGATCATAAATTGAAATTAAATATAAATTTATTAATTTATTGCAAAGACATTAATTAATAAACAAATGTATTAATTTTGGGCGTTGTGGGGTGCTAATCCTTCCCAACACGTAATCGACTCCCGAACTCATTTTCTGGTAAGCATACCCTTTTTGTATTATTTTAATATTATTTTTATAAATTTTATTAAAATAACATAGCATTTTTTGTGACCAATCACACCTCGATAAAATGATTGGTGGCGACTTTACAAATTGTGTTTTATCTTATACCAGAAGCTACACACTTACTTTTTCGAGACAAGATTTAGAAAGCAACGACACTTGTTTTCGCCGGACGAAATATCGTCTTGACAGTCCTCTATCATGGTTATGGACATTGTGATGTATTGGGGTGTCCGATAATCAATTCCTCCTCTAAACAGTACGATTTCTTACTTTCACCTGTTATATATATAAATTTTGGCATGTTCGTGTTCGTGTTATCAAAACCAATAAATTATGAAGATAATAAATTCAATAAACGAATATATATATATATATATAAT